GGTTCTATGTTAGCTTGCAGCTGTGAATTCTTCTGAGTAAAAGACACTATAGTTAGGGATCATGACAAAACTTAAGTAAGTTTTAGTAAATTGTAAATGAAAAGTACAAACCATTCTAAGAGGCCACAGCGTAAACTGGCAAAACAGAGAAAAGCTGTGAAGAGGTATTTTTATCTTACACTGGAGGGACTGATGTGTTGGCTTGCTGAGTTTCACAAAACAAACCTCAGCTAGAATCAAACATAAGCGTCCCTACAGTAGAAGGCATCAGATCAGAACCAGAAGGGTCTTACTCATGAGGTCTCAGTCTTTGTTGCTGGGAAACCAGAGGACCAAAGCCTCTGTTTTATTTTTTTACTTGAAAATGTTGTCCATTTGCGGATTTTGTGCATGCATACAGATTTTGCAGGATCTATCTCTGACCAAGTGAGATCAACTGTACTCTACATACAAAAGAGACCAGATGTTCACAGAAACACTGAGTGTACACACAGCTAGAAAATGATATTAAGGTAAGTACATCAGACACAGAGATGGGAAGCAACGTTTTGAATTCTGATTATCAGGTCAGATTCTATCTGGAAGGTAACATGATTCTCTAATTAACAAGAGCACCTTTCCTTCCACAAAAGCCACTGGTGGTCATATGCCATTTTTGCTTTTTTAAAACAAGAAAAAAATGTTACAGTGCCACTTAGAATCCCAAAAAATTTCTTTAAATTTTTGCACATTTTATATGTGTCTATAAATCTGGAGTTATCTGTTAGTTCTAGATGGTTTTTTCTCCAACTTTGGCTTTCTGGTCTTATAAAAGAAAAAATAAATTTCTCAACCCTTAAAATTGTTCCCAGTATTTGCATAATAAATGTGTAAACAAAACTAAAAAGGCTCTTTTGTGCCCTCATTATCCAGTCTCCACTTCAGTTGTGTCATTTAACAAACACGACACTACATAAAAGGGACTTGTGCGAACTGCTTTTTCATTTCACTTTGAAGCAGAAGGGTAAGTTGAATTTCCTTTTAATAAATCATAAGGAACTTCAGCTAGAAGGCAAACCTGTTCCTTTCCATTTCCGTGGTCATATTTATATTTTAAAATTAAATTTTCCTTTATTATTTTTTTACTTTGCTTATATTAGCCATTTTACTAGAAGAGGAGATGCCTGAAGGACACCAGATAGTAATGACTGATGAAGGTCATTAAAACTGGATTAAAACTGAAGACCTGTTTTTTCCATTTTGCTCTATAACTGATCAGGACTCGGACTCTGCATCATAATCCAATTATGAGCTGGATGCAGTAGTCCATTCAAATGTAATTCCCTGATCAGCACCAGACAAAGAATACCTGTTCTAATTGCATTTCCTTATCTCAGGGATGTAAGTATTCGTAGTCACCTAAGGTAGGTTTCTGTTACAGACTTTAATAATCCTCTCTCTAAGTTATTGGCCAGCATTGTCAGAGGTGTCTGCTAGCCTTCTGTGTAGTAAAGGGTAAACAACTTGAGACACTTTACATTCAACACACAAAACTCGGCAGCACTTTTAATACAGCATGTGTGTTCTCAGGTGGATTTGAAATTTCCACTTGTTTAAGTGGAAACTCTTGACCGTGAGGAATAGACACTGCTATTAAACAGATTCTATGTTCAATTAAATGCATAAATTTATGACATTATTTAATATTCTTGTGTTCAAGAGTGTGTCCCACTGAACTGATTTTGATGAGACATTCCTCTAGAAAAACAAGTGAACTTTGCCCTTAACAGTGGTTAGTATTGATGCAGATTTAGAATAATATCAAAAGACTTCTATCATAGTCAGTCTAGAAGATATTAAAAATACTTCCTTGTTTTAAAAGCTCAGTCCAGTTTTAGTGTATCCATTGAACAAATGGTAGTAATAATAAACTGATATTTTGATTCTGCTTGGCATATATGCTTTGAAACAAATTCCTTGTTTTAACTGATGAACCCGGATGTTAACAGTCTTGCAGCATTCAAGCCAACCAAGATTTTATTCTCAACTTTAAGTGGAGCTGGATTTAGAACATATTATGTATCAATTAAAATGATCTTGTCAATTCTGAACTTTTTTAAGGATGGAAGTTTTTCAGAGAGTGTAATACATGATCCTCTCTAATTTGCACCAAAAGAAAAGTGAAGTCATGGGTATTAAGTTATATGTTTTGTATGAGAGTCGACCCTAAAAAGTCATCTCATGAGAAAGGGATACCCACTATGGCATGTTGAACCTTTCTTTATTTCTTATTGTTTCAACTGAATTATGCCAATAACTGGATATCTCTATGCCATAGTGTCTTATAGTCCATCAGTTCAGGTTTTGTAACTGCACAGCATTACCAGTGCTGCATACCCACTAACTGCATTGTAAACCCATGATCTGTAGTTTCAGAGTGCTTTTAAGTCATGATATCTCACCACTGAGATTATAACCCTACTTAATATTATACCTGAAAGGATAAAATATGATGAATAGACCTATTGCCAACCAGTAAAAATGTATTTTCTGCAAGACTCACTCTGACATTTTGAACCTTGTGGAATTTTGTTTAAAACAAGACAGGAATGTCAATTGAGCTATAACATGCTCATGTGTAAAGTGCTGTCAGTCTGCTTATTTCAAATAAATGTTCTTCCTACATAGTACTGTGCTTAAAGAGATTGCTAACTAGCTACAAACCATCACAACAACCCCTGTAACAGATTGTGCCTTTCAGGTTAGTAGCATATGCATCTATGTTTCGTTGAGCGATTATAGCCCTTACAGACAACTAATGGCTTAACTGTGATCAGTTACATCTGAGCCCATCATTTCTCAAGGATTAATCCAACAAATAGTCAGTGATAGCAAAAAAGATGGTTTGTCTTCACTACTCCCAAATGTGTAGCTGTCATTCTGTAATAAGCATACCAATCTCTATCAGTCTAGAACCAGTTTTCTGTATAAGCTATGCAATGGTAGCAACATAAATCTGCGAAATCTCATACCCAAACAAGAGACTTTATTTAAACAAGGAAAGAATGTAAATGCCAAGTGATGAATTGGGGGGAGGGGGGGTTGGGGGGAATTGTTCAGTTATAAAGACAATGCCTACAATTTCTTACAGAATAACTGCCTGACAAATATGTGGGTTTTCTTACAGCTGCCCTGAGCAATCATGTTGTCTTACTCATCCTACATGCTCACAGCAGTAGCTGCTTTGCTAGTGACTTGTGATGCATTGTGTAAATGTCCAGGAGTTCCTGGGCTACGTGGTATCCCAGGACTGCATGGAAAAGATGGAAGCCTGATGATACCTCCTGGAAGGGGTGGTCTTCCCTGGGCACAAGGTGAGAAAGGAGAAACAGGAGATATTGGAGCACCATGTAGAAATGGCTGATGTCCATCTAATGTCCTGTCAGACAAATGGACTCTCTCAACAGAGGTCAAATATGTTGTTTTCTACTGACTGTGAAATGCAGTAAGAGTTGCAACATTGCAACTCAGAGAGAGGAAGATGGAGCAGTATTTTGTACTTCTATATTCCCATTTGCTTTAGTTGTGAATAACGGGAACATGACCATGGGATCACATCAGTAACTTTATTCTACATGTAGGACCTTTGTTACCCATGGAAATTTGTATGAGAAAAGTATTTAACATGAGTTCCCATCTTCAGCAAGCAATGCTGGATGGACTGTATTTCACACAATCTATGCAGAAATGCTCCTATACCAGTGTTTATGATTTCCATTAAAATAAGATCCCACTGCAAAAGCACAAAGCATCCACTCAGCAGATAAAAAATAAAATGGTCTGGTGCCATAAGAACTGTTCCCTCCCCAAAATCTCCCTTGTGCCTGTTCACTAACAATTATTAGAACGAAGTAAATTCTCTTTGGCAAAACCACTTTCACAGACATGACAAACATAAGGCTTCAACCTAGAAAAAAATAATTTCCTTCTGTGCAGAGGGGAATTATCAGCATTTCAGAGGTCTGGAGGTTTTTGTTTCCTTTAATAGAGGTTAACAACAGTGTGAAAAATTAGTGGGAAAATATATCTTTTATGCCAGATGATGTTAAAAAACATCACATGTGTGCTAGTTAGTTTTGGAAAATGATTAGTTTTAATCCAAGTAATTGTTCCTACCAGCAGAGCCTAGTTTTGCTTCATTATATAACTTGTATTTTTATCTGTGTAGGTCTACCTGATGCTTTGGACACTGAACTCAACCTTCTTTTACTTAACTTGAAACTTCGACTTTCCAGACTTAAAAGCGGTAATTTTTCCCATTTTTACTTTTTCAGTTCTCAATCAATTCTAAGTGCAATAGGCAAAATTAGTTATAGGATCATGACTTGAAGGAAAGAAATTGCACTTGAAAATGGTACTACAATCCAAAACTCAATTTTCTCATCCAAAGCAGGGGAGATCAGGATTCGTTCTCCCTAGAGAAGCTGATTTCTCTCAGGAACGCTAATGCACATTTATTCAGATTTGATTTAATAAAAAAATATATTCCAGCTGATGTTGCACTTTCCACATGGATTCATGGGAACTCCTCAGCCTTGTACCACATTGCTAGCATTTTTATCTATCAACAACCAGATTGTTAAAGGTGGTAAATGGTTTTGTACTGAGAAGGAATTCACAAAACTTATCCTTTCTGTTTCGTTTGCTCAAATTTCAAGCAAATTGACCCTCTTATGAGTGGGGCATCTTTGTCTTGGAGAAGACAACGACAGATGGTCACAAGCAGCACAAAAAAATATTTAGTGAACAACTAATGAACTGGCAAAATTTTGAAGATCTTTATTTCTCTCTAGCCTTTACTCTCATTCTTGCCCTCTGTTCCTCATGCCACTTTTAATTTTCTCTTTATCTCTTGATTTCTCTTTCTTTGCTTTGTCATCAATATGCCATAAGAAATTTTTAAAAAGCTAACCAGGGCTCTTTTTTTCATGTTTTAGTGCTTGTCTTGAGTGGGAAAATAAGAGAAGTAGGAGAGAAAATACTTGCCAGCAATGGGAAGGAAGTTGATTTTGCGTCTGCACTAAAATCCTGTGAAGAAGCTGGAGGAACTCTTGCAACTCCTACAAATGAGGAGGAGAATAAAGCTATTTTGGGTATTGTGAAACAATATAATCGATATGCTTACTTGGGCATTAAAGAGGGTGAGAATTCAGGTCAATTTAACTATATAAATGGCACACCTCTGAATTATACCAAGTGGCACCAAAATGAGCCTAATGGCAAAGGGACAGAAAAATGTGTAGAGATGTACACTGATGGGAGCTGGAGTAACAAAAAATGCAACCTGTATCGCCTCACAATCTGTGAATTCTAAAGAATGGCCTTTCAGCCACCTCAAACTATGGAGACAATGAAATAGCATGTCTCAGGTTTATGCGATTTCTGCAATTATTCTATGTCAGAAAATCTAAAATTAATCATGAGGTTTTTTTTATCCTTAAGAAATTGTCAAATGTGGTAGGTGATTGAGTTCATTAAAATCTACTTAATCTGCTGTGTTCTTCTCTTTTTGGAGGGTTGGGAGTAGCTCAGAATTCATTTTTCATGGCAGACTGTCTCTGTGCACTGTGCCTTTGTGAAGATTAGAGGAAAATTCCAAGGTTTGACTCAAGATATTGGAGAAATCTGAGGTTAAAAATGCCCCTGGATTCACACTGGAAGCATTTCCAAGTATTTAATAGTTTCTGCCTTAAAAGAGATACACAAAGGTTGACTTCACTGGAGCAATTACGGTCTCAAATTTTGTACATCTCTTTGCATTATGTGTCATGCTGAAGCATGCACTGATTCATTCAACATCCATATTTAACTTTATTTTTTTATAAAAATATTAACTGTACCAGTTACAATTAATTTTCTCAGTTTCAGAAGCTACTACCTATAAAACATTAAGATAAACAATACATTAGAACCATGTAGACATGGAAATACGTAAATACAAAATACTAAAGATTGCATTTTCTTGCTAAAACATCACACTCCCTCACAGAACTATGAACATTGTGTTAGAAGGCCACCTGTCTTCTCCCAGGCCACTGAGCAACCACAGACCATTTTAGGGGAGCAGGTAAGAACAGTTCAACCAGCTCAAACACAAGCTATTTCTCTGCTGATGTCATGCCAAGCAACCACACAGTCAGGCCACGACTCAAATCCACTAGGATCAAGTAGTGTCTTTTCCCAAAATAATTTCACCGCTGCTCAGTGTGGGTAGCTGGTGAGCAGTGGGAGCTCAGTGAGGTACCATGAGTAGCAAATTCTCACACACTTGCCCTGCATGGAGGAAGTCCTGGGCTCATCCATTGTCACTTTCACACCACCTAAGGGAAAAAAAAGGAAGCACTGGAGTTAAAAATACGTGTGTAAATATTTTTACTTCATCTTCTCCTCCTCCCCCAGATTTGGCTCCGTGCAGGAGCCCATAGAAACATGAACTTGACTCTGGGCAGTGTTGTCCCTTGTCCCTAGCCTGCACTGAGTAAGAGATGGGATCTGTTCACATGGACATTTCAAGCCCTGTCAAGTAGGAAAGCTTCAGCGTCTTCAGACACAGGAGATAAAGGGATACTTTTGGCAGCAGAAGACTCATGTCCAGCATTGTGTACAGCACTACAGCTGATCTGAGGGTGGACAGGGACCTTGAAGTGGGAAAAGTACACCCAGTACCATGCTGGAATAGCTTCCTTTGAGACCTCAGACCATTAAACCATTTTGGCCAATAATTTCAAATGGGGAGGGAAGAGATCATGCCATGACAAAAATTCTGACTCTCAGGTTACTTTGAGAAAATATAAGGTTAATACCTTATCATTAGATAAGGTATTCATCCTAGGCTTAGCTCTGACCAGCTGCACTAAATCTGCAAGATGATTACCTGGCATAAGGTAGCACTATGTTGGAGAAAGAGACAAAAAATATCACTCTACTAACATGATCTGTTTTTATCTGAATCAAATTCACCTAATCATTTACATAGCTCCAACTAGGGTTGGAGCATCCTATTACTTTATTTAACAATTTATTTCCACCACATTTGTGTTTACAAAATAACTGTACAAATCTTGTTAAAATCTGTAGTGTGTAAAAGCTTACAAATGACTTAACACAATATATCACCTATCTCTAAACAGATTTAGACTTCAAGACACTTGGGCAATTTTTATCCAGTTAAGAAAAATAAGATTATTTTTCCAGTCAAAAGCTAATTTTTACTACATCAATAAGCAAAGCACTTAGGCTAGATGTCAGAGTCCAATTTCTTTCTGCTTAAGCCATTACTATCAGAAAAAAACAAAAACAAACAAACAAACAAAAAAACCCCAGATCAAAAACAAACACATGCTGCTTAAAAATGAAAACTCCTCAGATACAGTCAAAGAACTGCTAGGCAGCAGTTTCCCCCTCTATAGTTTGCACTGAGATCTGTAAAGTTTCAGGTAATTGAACTAAACTCAGTTATTTTCATAAAATATCTCCATATATCATACTCAGCACTTTTCTTGCTGTGCTCTAGCCTTCCCCTTATACCATTCTGAAGCAACCCTCCTTGTTCTGTGTCCAAAGTCTTGACTCTGCCTCTCATACAAAACTGAAGATATCAAGGGGACATCTGCCAGCTTCTTGCCTTGTTTGTAAAAAACTGTGTCCACATTCTTTTGCATGGATTTTTTATCTCCTAACTGTGATGAACTTCAGAGAATAAGGGACTCCAGTGTCAACCATCATATGTAGAAGAAATAAAATTCCCTAACTAAAGCAATATTCTACAGAAGGGTTTGGAATGTGTTTGTATTTCATGGGATTCATATTTGGTAATTAAAATCCTGGTGAAGGTGCATGCTCAGTAGAATGTTACTGCATTATTCTTTGCAGTTCTACAGAAGAACAGAATAGTATCCAGAAATCCTTATTTTGTTATTTTAGATGGCTTTGTGTGTGTGTGAGCATAACCCTATCAATTTAAACCCTCAAATGCTGTTTAAAATGCTTATAAGCATTTCAGTCTGCTTTTTGAGAAATATCCAAATTATGCATTTATGTATTAATAGATTTTTTTTAAAATGGACAGAGAGGTCAGACACAAGAAGAAACAGAATAAACTGTTTATTTGATCTGTTATTATAGGATAAATAATTTTGATAAAATCTTTCCTTAAAAATGCAATGAGTAAAAATAATCCCTGGTGCATAATGACCAGACCACAAAAAATCCAGGTTAGTCTTTTTTTCTTAATTTGTAATAATTTGCTACAGAAAAGCAATTTAGCAGTAAGATCTTTAATTCAGAAAATAACTTATTCCCTTCTCAAATGCTATAAAAGCAGATTTTGAGAATTAAGATGCTGGTACAAGTTAAAAGGTCACAAAAATTCAGTCCCTTCTGAAGCTAACGGATTGCGTAACACATAAGAGAAATCTAATACAATTCTTATTGTAGTATATTTAACAGCGGGAGTTTTGTCTGGCCATAAAAATGATGGATATTGATTTCAGGCAGAATTCTCTCTGGTCTAGAGTGATATCCTCTTTTATAACCGTATAATTTAATTAGGTGTTTTAACTTTGAAATACTGTTAAATGAACTGAACTTTGATTACAGCAAATAAGTATTTTTCTGTGGCTTCCTGATTTTTTTGGAAATTTGATTTAACAAAACCAAGCCCCATGGTTCTTGGGAAAACTGAGTTTGAATTCAACCTTATGTGAACATAGTAACTGTCAGGATGTGACTGACACAGCCTAGCAGGGCTACCTCATCTTGTACAAATTGTGACCAACGACTCCTTTGTTTTTTGGTTTAGTTTTTTTTTTTATTTTAATTTTGAAGCCAAATTCAAAGAAGAATAATTATAATATTCCTCTGTTCTTTTCCAGAAAAAGAAACCATATAAGGTGGAAAAATACCAGTAATTGCTGCTGCAATATCCAAGCAGTGCTGCAATACAAAGTAGGGTAAATGTTAATCATACATTGCACATGTATTTGCAGCTTTTCTTTAGAAGAACAATAAGTGCAAGTAGGAGAAGAAATATTTGCCACCAGGAAATTTGTGAGCTGAATTTGAAACCACACTGAAAAGTGCTAGAAAAACTAACGGCCCTGCTACAACTCTTAATAAACCAGAGGAAAAGAATGTTTGTGGGAGTATTGTGCAATGGTACAACAGACATATTTGTCTGGACCTCAAAGAGTGTCAGATTGCAAGTGATTTTCATTATCAGAAGTTGAAATGTACTGTTATAAAATCATATTAACATACAGTTATACAAACATACCTGGGTTTAAACCACAATCAATACAGGATGCTTGGAAATTAGGGTAGCACCTTTAAAAATGATAAGGGGACTTGCATTTGAGTTGAAGTCCCTGTTTGGAAACGAGGGTTTGGCAGAATTTGGCTGAAGGGTGATAAGCCAAATGTGATGCCATGTGAAACCAGCAAAAATAACCTCAGCCCTTCACTGAGAAGGGGAGACACTAGGTCCTGCATTCTCTGTGCTCTTCCTGATATTTCCAGGTGTAAGGCCGCTGTTGGGGACAGTCTGACAACTATTTGGAAGAGAAAAGGAAATGCAGAAAGCACAAGACAATGTGGTAGGATGGAAACAGCAGCAGAACAGTACAAAATCAAAGTAAACAGAAAATATAAGTGAGGTTGGGGCCATTCAATGCAAACAGAGAATAAGAAAAGAATTTTCAAGGTTATCTGAGGCATGACTAGCACTGTGAAAGAGAAAAAAAGATGACTTTCAGGAGGTTAAGTATACAAAGCAAAGACTAGCAAACCGGCTCGCAGAAGAAACACACACCCACTTTCATAAACTGAAATTCAACTCTAGTCTGTATGTTGACCAACTTTTGTCCTTAGCATGTTTTGCATTTGCCTACCTACATTGTGCAACACAACCTACTCTCAGAATATCCTCCATTTGCTTCACTAGCACTGTAATTATAAAGCCTCTTAATGATAGACATGAAAACACAGAAAAAAAGTTGCCTCAAAAATTGTTTGTTCCTTATCAGATCTGTATCATAGAATCATAGAATCCTTGAATCTTGTTGAGCTTCTGTGATACACAGCTCAAAGCAAGACAAGAAAATAGTTTACAAATTCTGACAGGATATTCTATTAAGCGATCATAAATAAGCATAGTAGAAATGTAAGTATTTTTAAATATCTATTTTAGCTTGCTCCATCTTACAAATACTCTGATGAAAATCAAGAGAAGAAAAGTTTAGAATTTATAAAGTCTACATAAGGTCTTCTAAGGAGTCTATCACACAAGAAAACTTCTGTCTCCCTCCAAGTTTCCCAGGCTATCAGTCAGCACGTGAAACTCACTGACGAAGGCCAAGCTCCAGGTGCAGTATAAGTGCTAAAGTTGTTCTCACCATGAATGCAAAGGCTCAGGTTCCACCAGTAACCTTTTCCAGGGCTCACCTGGACCCCAGGTAATGGCTGGTCTCATTCTCTGGGGCTTGTTTATTTTTTTTTTCTCCATAAAACAATTAGAAAAGCTCAGCCAAAAGAATGTTAAAAGCATTAACTCAAACACTTAAAAGCTAAGAAACTTAAAATTTAACAAGAAACTTTAAACAAAGGTACTCATACAAAGTTAAAACGTCCGTCTTCTGTCAAGGTACATACAGCTGGATACTGCTTATTTATTTTTCACAGGACTGCTGCCTTTTCCAAGGCACTCAAAAAACAATGTTGATAGTGACAGGATGAGGGGGGTGGTTTTAAACTAAGAGAGGGGAGATTTATGTTAGATATTAAGAAGAAATTTTTTGCTCAGAGGGTGGTGAGACACTGGAACAGGCTGCCCAGAGAAGTTGTGGATGTCCCATCCCTGGAGGCATTCAAGGCCAGGCTGGATGAGGCCCTGGGCAGCCCGCTCTCAACCCTGCCCACAGCAGAGGGGTTGAAACTAGATGATCTTTAAGGTCCTTTTCAACCCAGGCCATTCCATTATTCTATGAATTAGTCAGGCTCTGTGGGCACACCACCAGTGACAAAGGACTCTACATCAGTTGCTGAGGTAAGTGTGAAGGTGCAGAGTACAGGTGCAGAGTGCCTGTGGAGGTGATCTAGGCTTGCTTATATCTGGTAGCATCTTAGACTAATATGGATATTGGACATTCCCCATCTAATCTCAAAGCACCTATTCCTTAATTGACTTGGTTGTTAGCCTTGCTACAACATCCAGATGCTGACCTGACACCACAACGATGATATGACCACATCTTATCTGTTTGAAGTGGAGCACAGCCTCAAGCTCCTTTCCTAAAAGTCTCCGTTAGACAGAAGCACCTCTCAGATGAGAATAACTTAAAAGTGCATGGCAACGCATTTTCATTTCAGCAATGCCGTGCATCTTGAGGCCTCCGTATTTACAGGGCTGCTTTAGAGCAGCTTTTTCCTTCACTGGAAGGTCGTTGTTCTGTTCTGTAAAACTTATTATTTATGATTTAGAAACTTCCCCTGGAATAAAAGGGGAAGTTATTTAAGTGTGTTCTCTGTGGCTGTTATCTCTACATGTGCTGCAGATGTACCATTGTCTTTTGGCTTTGCTGCTAAAATTGTGAGATTATTTAGTCACGAGACTTCAAGTAATTGTCACTGGTAAGTTCACAGTCTGTAATGAAAGTTCCTGGTGCATATTACACCTCAGGTGAACTCCTTGTTTTGGCTTATTTTCAGTGACATTTGCAATTTAACATTGACACAGCTGTTCTGTGGAAACATTACGTATTTCAAATATTTATTGAGAAATGGTTTTGTTCTGCTGCAGGGCTGGGGTTTTTTAAACATGTGAAAGTGTTTCCACAAATCAAGAAAGTACCCTCAAATATTTTCCTCACATTTTAAGTGTTTGCCTCTTGAAGAAAACAGCCCCCCCATCATTCAAGTTAAAGTTTATTAGATTTCTATTCAGATGCAAACTCATATCCTACTACATGCTCTTTGTATTTCCTGTAGGTAACAAGATGAATCTCAAGTTACATGCCCTATAAATTAGACAATGTAATGAGTCTTTATTTCATATTGGAGCTGCTAGGTAAGTTGAACATCTTTAAATAGCTTTCTGCTTATATTGTGTTGCCTCCTCTTAGATGGTATCACAAACCTTTCCCTTTTAGATTTTTGTTTTGTCTCTCAACATTTTTATTAAAGCTCTCACCTGCTTTTACAGAGGATATCACCTGAGGTGAAGATACTTTAAAAGATGGATGCCGTAATGGAAGAATAACCATTAACAATTGTTTTCCTCTTAAACCAATTGATAAAGAAAGCATCTCCCAAGTTTACCTTAACCTGGCTTTTCTCTTACTAAAGCAGAAATGTGTCTATTGCTTACCTGGAAAATTAAGACTGAAACTATGGCTTTTTGCATGGGAAAAAATGGCATATAATGGTATCTGCTGTACAAAAAAGAGCTTTGATGGTTTGGGTTTTTTTTACTTTGTAGCTTAAACTCTTGTAGACAGACTGAGTCTTTTGCAAAACTATTTTAATTATTTGAAAGAACCTAACTTTGCAACTACATCAGTGGCATCTATGTCACTGAGGGCAAAGTTTAACTTAAATAGAACTTCTAACCCAGACAGCAAAATTCTGAAACACTGCCTTTTTTTTTTTTTTTAGTTCAGGACTCTATGCTGGAGAGTAAAACAGTCTGTTGACTTTAAATAATGCCATCTCCACAGTTCCACAAAATCTTAGGAGTAGCTTTTTTCCTGCTTCCATGCTGTGCTCAAGGTAAACCAACAGGAATTTTTCCACTGTTTGGTTTCAAGCACTTGCCTGAAGATGGAATAGATGAAGGATTTATACCAGGTATGTGCAGTTACCATCTCAGTTATCTAGGTGTACTGTTGTGTTCTATTTTTATGCTTTGTAAACTCAGTGCTATGCTGTATAACCTGATGTGGGTTCTACTCGATAGAAAATAAACAGATCTTTATTAATTCCCGGTATGAAGTAAGAATGCTTGAGTGTTTCCTACTTAACAACGCAACAGTTCAATTCACAGAGAAAAGGATATCATTTTCCATAACACAGGGCATAAGAAACTTGTTGCTAGGTGTTAGGTTGGAGCTGCAAGCAAATTCTTGAACAGCGTAAAAGCTTCTGTCAACCACCCCCAGATGCAGTTAAAAATCAACTAAAGCTACTGCACAGTGCCAGTGTTTTGCCTGAACTGGCTCAGTCACTTATAGAGTGAAGACTAACTCAGTTTGCTAACTTAAGTTTTCCATAAACATCACTGCTCTGCAGGTAGTCTCCTGGAATATGTTCCCTATCCTTACAAAGATAAATGTCTGAAAAGATCCCCTAGTTAAAACACAGCAGTAAACTGAAACAGGTCAAACATTTTAAAAATGCATTTTAATTTCACACAATCAACTCTGCTTTGTCTTGAAAGCCAAGAGTCAAACTGAAACATAAAGTCCATAATGGCTGGTTTTGTTCGTAGGTTTCGTGCCACTGGTTGATAATGAAATGGAAGACGCTATCCGTCAACTAGAACATCAGATTTCCAGGCTGGAAGGAGGTAATTTGTCTGCCTTTATTTTCTGGTGTACCTGGATTAGGGGCATAAACAAGGTGAGAGACAAAATGGCTCTTAGGAAAAAGGCAGAGTTTTCTGTGGTTTTGTTGCTTTCCATTTATAACTTGTTCACTGGTAGAGTGATAACTCTCAAATGGGGGGGATCCGTTTTTCATAACTAGTGGGTTCATAACTAGTAGGTAACAGCTCCGAAGCATGGGACCAAGCAGGCCAGCAACCTATATTTTGCGCTCATTGCAGAAGCTGCATCAGATTAAAACGCCTGCCTATGCAGAAGTGCTCCATGAGTGCCTCCTGCTCCTGACAGACAAATAAACTGAACACTAAAAACATACCAAAACAGCCACAACCAAATCATATCTAAGATCCTACTCACTCAAGGACTGACACGTACTCTTGTATACTGCAAACCCCCTCAGAGAGCTTATGCAGAGTACAGAGACTCAAAGAAAATAACAATATACTTTTCCAAATGTAGAATTCCTCACTTCCTTCCCTCCAATGTCTTTTGTATTTCTCCTATTTCATTGTGTGTATATGTATGTGTTTCTCCCCTTTTTTCCCCTTTCATCATCCTTTCAGATTTCTTCTGGCTTTTGGGGGTTGTCTTTTTTTTTTTTTTTTACTTTGATTTCAAGTTTTTCTCTCATTTTCCTGGATTTAATCTAAAAGTTATGGAGGGAAATAGTGGGAATTAAAATTGGCAGCAAAGTGACTACAAAACAGTGCATAAAGGTTTAACAGCTTTCACCTCATCTTGCAGTCCTCAAATTGGAAAAGAAGATAACAGCATCTGGAGGAAAAATATTTGCTACCAGTGGGAAAAAGGCTGATTTTGATACTGCACTGAAAGAATGCAAAGAGGCTGGAGGGTCTATTGCCACTCCAAGGAACCCGGGAGAGAATGATGCCATTCTGTACTTCGTGAAAAGTTTTAATACCTATGCTTACCTGGGGATAAAGGAATCCCTAATTCCAAGCAAATTCCAGTTCCTGGATGGCACACAACTGGGCTATACTAACTGGCATTTAAATGAACCTTCTGGCAAAGGAAAAGAGGAATGCGTGGAGATGTATACTGATGGCACTTGGAATGACAAAAAATGTAACCAGAATCGCCTTATTGTCTGTCAGTTTTAGTCCTTCCCCTGCTGCTGTCTGGCAGGGTCACTGCAATATGCTTTCCTGCCCCTTGTCTCTGCATTTGTAGCTAGTGAACTCAGACAATGCAGCTTGAAAAATAAAAGTCACTCTTCCACAGCCTGATTTGTCTTTTAAGCAAATGGCAGCCATAAAGAGGAAATTACTTACAGTGAGAGCAGTGGCCATTTTGTCTGTTCTGTTATTCATTGCCCACTGAGTTTCTTGGTAGGACTGCCTATGGGTTCCTGTTGCTCTGTCAACCTGCTGGCTTACTACATGAGCAAAAAGTAGATTTCTTGGGCACATACCTAAAGTGACTTGCTGCCACAAGACCTTCCAGCACCCCTCTACCCATGAGCCTCAAAGTTGTGTGTATTTTCATCCCTTTCTGTAAGTTTCCCTCACTAAACCTACTTATACAGACACTCCTGCTGCTGCTCAGCCTGCATTTCTCTGGCCATCTTCACCTGCAACAGATTCCCTAAAAGAAATAAGCAGAGCTGCTGGGGTAACGCAGAGCCACAAGCAGAAGAGGGAACTCAGTCACCTTATATTTCCCATGGGAAAGCTTTAGAGTCAGCAGGTCTTTAACATTCATGTACCTGAAGAGTGGTGGCCGGAAGCCACCTGTCCTGAGACCTTCCAGCAACTCCTAATCCCTTTCCTGAGTCAAAGTGGTAGCAGCAGAAGAAGCCCAAAGTCCCATGCCATGTGGGATGTGGATGGAAAAAAACACAGAGGGGACGAGATGTTACAGTGCCCACATGGTTTGGGGAGATCAGCAGAACCATGATAAATTCAATTTTTTAAAGCTAGCTAGTAGAGAGATTCAGATACAGCTAAGTTGTGGGCTGGACAGAGCTGCTTGACAAAACCTGATTGGGAGTCCCATGGGACTCAGCTTGGGCATTCCCTGCGTCTCTGAAGCAACCTATATTTTGCGCTCATTGCAGAAGCTGCTCAGAGCCTGCACCCTCCAGCCCAAGCTAAAGGATTATTTGAGACAAAGCTATCCGAACAACTTTGTTACTGGGGCCCAGTCACCTACTGCAATTGATTATTCCCCAGGTTAAATGCACAGCTCTGCAGTGCAACAGACACATCCAGAGATGTCTATGATTTTTTTTTCCCCTTCCTCTGGGGCAGTTGATTTCAACACAGCTTAGACAATGAAGGCTTTGCATAAACTCTGTGACACAGTGCAAAGGCTGGCTGAGCATCCAGGCATGCTTCCACATGTACCAAGCCAAATGCCTGGCTATCAGTCACCCTCACATACATGAGCTTTGCTAGTTCCAGCCTGGTCATGGAGAGCTGAGACAGGAAACATCCAGCTCTAGAGCCAGACCAGCTCCTCTCACACTATGTGACAGGGAGACAGAACAGTCACAAACCAGTTACAGAAGGTAACTGGGGAGGCCAGGTGAGCTCTTGGATGATGTCAATACAGGGACCAGCAAAGGGACCGTGCACATTGCTGTAATTCCAGAGCAGAAACTTGTCAGGCACAAGACTCCTGCGCTTAAATTCAATTACTCAAATATTATGAGTACATGTTCTCACCACCTGCTCTATGATAAGGCATGGATCTTCCTGGCCTCCATTCAGCCCTCTGCTTGATGTCATGGCCCGCGAGTCATTCTTGCTGTTATTTTCTGCAAATTAAGCAGTTTATCTTACAGGTGTCTACTTAGGATGATTAAAGCAACAGGGCTAGCATCAAACCAAGACACCTTTCTGCTTGAACAATTTGGTGCCTGCAGGTGGTCTACCTCCACAGGTTACTTAATTATTCACCTCAGCAATATTCAGATCCTTCATCACAGTCATGCATACATTTTTCCCATTTCTGGAAACCATAAAGTTGTCCCAACATATGCAGAAAGTAGAGTCTTGAGAGCAAAATCCTCATTTTATACAATATATCTATTTGGCACATAACAAAACTGTTAACTAATGCCCTGTTTCCAGATAACATAGCCACAACGGAAGCTACTGAATCGTGTAAGGTCTAGGCAGACTTACATTGCTATGTTAATCCAGTTGAAGCAGGTACACAGAGGGGAAATGAGGACTTGAGTGTCTGTAGGCACTGTTTCACTTTCACACTGTATTCTTACTCTTACTTACAAATGTTTTACAGCTCACCAGTGTCTGCCTGCACCCACCAGCTCGCCCACCCAGCCTGCAGCCTTGCGTGACTCCTGTTGTGAAACCAACCCTGCCACAAGCACGAGGAAACGGAAACACAGACATCACCTCCTACAGTAGCTTTCCACTCATCATATTCCAATAAAGTTTAGGAAGTTTACAGTGGTTAACGTCAGTCTGAGAATGAAGTTGGACCCCCTCAAACATCTGGAGCCCTGGTAAGTTTCTTATTTTATCCTGCTTATCTCCAGGGGGTTAGAGTAATCTCAAAATTAGAGCTGATTGCAGGTGTGTGAAAGAAAGTGTCTGCCTTCAGTGTCAGTCTAATGAATGTGCCACAGCAGAAATGTTCCCCTGCCACCCTATCTTTAGGCATTTTCCCCTGTGCTCTCCCAGGGAAGAGAGTAAAGGACTTAATGTGTTACTACTCCACAGCTACAGATGCTCATCCCCTTTGGACACCTTAGCTGCTTGTAATAGATGAGGCCATAAAACCTCAAAGCAAGCAAATATTTCTCAGCCTGCCTGACACTGCTCCCTCCAGCAACCCTGCTGACAGCAGGCAGGTCTCAAACCAGCCATCTTGGCCTGGAAATCAGATTGGTTTGGCATTTGGGCACCTAATTTATTTCCTAAATCTAAATGAAAAGGCAGCACAGCATCATCTGATTTGTAGAAAGACAGGATTCCCCAAGGCTGGCAACTCTTTACCTCAAAGTTATTTTCAGAAACATTTATGAACTTATTTTAAAAGCCTAATCCACTCTATCCTAACCTTAAATACTAGCTGTGCCTTGTAGGACTGCCACCATTCACTGTGTATTTACCAGTACTTCGACAGGTACTGGACCACCCGAGCTGCTGACAAGCCAAGTAGTATGATGTTCAATTTTCAGCCAATGGAGAGCACCGCTTCCCAAGGCAAGAGTAATGATACCACCACCAGCTTTAAGATTAAATTCATATTAATCTTAAAACCAGTGAAAAACAGTACAAGCAGATTTCTTGCAAAGAAACTTAACAAGGAACTTCGTTTTGGCAAGATTGTGAAATATTAGTGTCAAACATCAAAGGCGGAAGTTGCATGTCAAGTTCAGGGGGAAGCATTACTGACTATGCCTTGTACAGTGGAAAACATTTCCCCCTCCCCCAGACAAATGTTAAGAAAAGTGTTTTTAATTCTATAAAAATTATCCATCACAAAAGTGATTCTTAGAAATCATCTTTATCACGCAAAAATACCCTAGTTCGTATTTTCTGTGTTTCGTAGTAGGTCTAAAAAACATATTGCCAGTTATGTGACTGCGAGGTCTAAAGGCACATGCCTGAAGCCCGAACTTTGGTTTTGGTAGGTGCAAACTTATACCCCTTTGCCTCTCTCCATTGCAAGACAGTTGCACAGATTTCAGCATCCCCACCAAAATGTTTTAACCCAGGCTGCAGTTTGGCCTTGACATCTTTCTTTGCCATCAGACAAGTGCTAGTGCTGTGCGCAGATAAGAGGGACATTTCTAAGGGACCGTGGAGTGCCATCTCCACGAGAGTGTGTAGCAGAGCCAGGGCTGGCTCAGCAAAGCCTCTGCAAGGGTTTCTGTGTGCTTCTCACTCCATGTAACAGACACTGCAGCAGCCTGACTGTAGACATAATTTTTCAAATATTTAAATAAAGTTAAGCTTGTAAGTAGTGAGTGGGTTGTTGAACATACATAGCTGGAAGAGAGTTGGGTGTATGAACCCCTGGGATCTGCAAGAACCTTAGGGGTGTCAGCCCTCATGATCTGAAGGCTGCATGTGCTACTCATTAAACAACACAGATTCTGTTATTATCAGATTTTTCACTTCTGAGTAAATAAGATTATTGACACGGAAAGCCCAAGTGGTTTCCTGGCAAAAAAAAGGGCCATCATTTTTCACTTCAGGTGACTGTCTCCTCAAGCAGCTTATGCATGTGTGAACAGCCAGCTATTGTTTTGCTGATCCTGAGCAAACTGTGGCCAGGGCAGAACAGCTTCATGCTTTCTTTGGAAAGGATCATGCCACTTTAAGGACACCAAGTGGGAGGTGATACAGGCACCACTGTACAAACAAGTACCTGTGCAGCTGCTGCGCTCACCTGAGCGTCCCACCGCTGAGGGGACGCTGCCCTCGCCTCCCCTGGTTTGTCTGGCAGTCAAACACCACCTTCTCTCACTGCCTGACAGCACAGCATGGATGCCCAGACAAAGCCACTCAGTTTTATCTCCAAGACTTGCAAGACAGCTTGAGGACACTGAGAAGGTAAGCACAGACAGAAAAGAGCTGAATGACTGCAGGACCATGCAAGCTTTCAAGAAGACCAGAACTTATTTCACATAGCCAGGTTCGGAAAGATGCAAACACTCAACTCAAACACAACCACTTGCTGGCCTTTCAGCAAAAAATGAGGGGGTGGCTAAATTATTTCAAATTTGGTTACAAGGTTGTGAGCAAGAAAGGGATGAAGAGGAAAATATAGAGTTGCTAAATGGTTTTAGAGCTATGTCTGTAAACTACATAAGGCAATTTTATTTTTTTTAAGTTAGCACACCATCAGCTTGTGTAAGTTTGTTCAAAAGTGTTTAAAGTCTAAATTTTTCAGCACAGGAAAAATCTGTTTGGCTTACAGGTGTATGTAACCCCCCTTTGCTATACACTCAAGAGTCATAAAACTAATAGAAATATGCCAGGAACACTAAGATAACACATAAGGCCACCTTATTAGATGAAATACAAAAATCAGAATTTACATGTCCAGAAAGTGATTTATGCATACTTTAATACCAGCAGAGAAACTTCTGTTGCATTTTAACTTTCATTGTAATCACCTG